AGCACCCCCCCCCCCCTTAACCGAGTGAAGGCCGACTCTAGTGACAAGCCGTGCATTACGTCAGAAATTAAATCATCTCTGATTATAAAGCGACGACGTGCTTGGTCCAGAGGAAACTCTATAGGAACATGGTGCATGCTAAATGTAAACCAGCTCGTAACTCCTATACTACAAAAGGAACATTGCTGACGTCCAACAATCCAACCCGAAAAAGTGGTGGTCAGCGGTAAAAAAGATCGCAGGTCTTTCTTCGACTAGAAATACTAAAACGTTGATGTATAATAATCGTCCCTACCAGAGTGAAGAATTAGCCGACCTGTTCAACGACAAATTTGTTGCTGTTGGGTCGACCCTTCCACCACTTGATTGGACTCCGCTTCCCGTTGACGTTTATCCATCCGAATTCATCATATCCGTTGAAGATACCAAAGCAGCATTACTTTCATCTATACTCCACTCCGCTGCTGATCCCGACGAAATGTCGGTGTGGTTTCTTCGTGAGAACGGATCCACTTTGTGTTGCCCACTAACCTCCATTTTCAATCTGTCCCTCCGTGAAGGCTTTGTCCCTTCCTTGTGGAAATCAGCTAACGTTTCACCAGTACCCAAATCCTTCCCCGCTCAAGACAACGACTCAGACTTTCGTCCCATCTCCCTCAAAGCCATTGTTAGCAAAATTCTGGAGTCGTCTCTTTACCGCTAGCTTTTCCAATCAATCGTAGGAAAGATCGACCCTCTTCAGTTTGGCGCTCTACGAGGTTCAAGCGCGAGCATGGCTCTCGTCCACCTCCTCCATAAGTGGTACGAAGCGTGCGATGACCTTGGTTTATCATTACGGATCTGCCTGTTAGACTTTTCGAAAGCCTTTGATTGTATCGATCATAACGTCTTACTGAGAAAGCTTCAACAAATGGCCGTACACCCAGTTCTCATTACTTTGCTTGGAAGTATATTCAAGCTGGCGTTCCACAGGGAACAAAACTAGGTCCCTTACTTTTTTTAATCATGGTAAATGATCTCACACCGGCTACAGACCTTGTCAAATTCGTCGACGATTCCACAATGTGGGAAGTTCTGCACAGAGAGTCCCAATCCGATCTGTTATCAGCCGTGAAAGCGTGCGAAGAATGGACATGTGATAATAACTTAAAGTTGAACGCTTCGAAGACGAAAGAGATGCGCGTGAACTTCTCGTCCAGTTCTTCCTCTTATCCACCAATTGTGATCAACAATCAAACAGTCAACATCGTTACGCATGCCGAGCTGCTAGGCGTTACCATCTCGAATGACTTAAAATGGAACTTGCACGTAAATGCTATCTGTAAGAAGGCTTCCAAGCGTTTATACGCCCTACGGCTAGCTGTTGAAAAGAAACGCCCTTCCGGACTCCGTCCTAGTCAAGGTTTATCGCGCATGTGTTGACCTATCCTTGAGTATGCATGCGAAGTGTGGCACAACAACCTCCTGTATACCTTAACAACCTAATAGAGCAGATCCAGAAAAGAGCTCTCCGAATTATCTACCCTTCCTTTACCTATAGTCAAAGGATGCTCACAGCCAACCTTCCATCGTTGTACGATCGCCTCATCGGTACTCACCCTTTGCGAGCGTCGTTTCGACAGAATGCTTGATCCAGGATTCCAGCGCACAAATTAAACTCGCTCGTTCCAGCTCTTAGGATTAACGAACACAATCTACGCCATAATAGGTGTTTTAAGGTTCCAGTTTGTAGAACTGGGGCCGGTTGTATAAAAACGTAGTTAGCGCTAACTGTAGTTAGCGCTAATCACTGCAGTTAAATCCTTAACTGTAATTAGTTAACTACATGACTTAACTGCGTTGCACAAAACGTAGTTAGTCGGATAGTTAACTAATCACGTAGTTAACTGTGCGTGGGGCTTGCGTGGGGCGTTTAAACACAAAATTACATAAAGTAAGCAGCGAATAACGACCGCTGACACACATTTTCAACATGATTGTGGACTCGCATTTTGCAAATAGGCGGGAATTTTATTCAAAACACTAGAAAACAGTGAAAAATATACAAGAAAACAAGGAAAAACCGCCACAAAAATCATAAAAGAATGCAGTTTTTCCTTGAGATGCCTACGTTAACTCTTAACGAGTTAACCAAGGTATAGCTGTTTGGCAATCATATATCAGTGTTTCTTGGTGTAATGGACCATACTTCGTCTTCGAGAAGTCGTCCTGGGCAAAAATATGTTCTGTTTTCGTAAAAACACCAAAGCGATAGCGTTTGAAGAGTTTATATTGTCAGGAAACATTCACAGGGAAGATAGCGATTGAAAATCTCAGGTAACCGTTGCTTTTCATTGTTGTTTTACTGAAAAATGTTGTTCACTCCTATACAAACGCCATTTTTAACTACATTTTGGACAGTTAACTATACCCTAAAGCATAGTTAACTTTAACTACTTTTTAACTGCAGTTAAGGCTAACTACACTTTTATACAACCGGCTTAACTACGTGATTAAAGTTAACTATTTTTTAAGGCTTATTAACTACTTTTTAACTGCAGTTAGCGCTAACTACGTTTTTATACAACCGGCCCCTGATCGCTACGTACCACAAGAGTTTTATACCGTCCGTAGCATCATTATATGACATGTAACATTTTTAACTCTTAATTTCTAATATTCTTAAATCGTATGTTATTACAACACTTTAGTTATACAGTATTTCATAGTTGTAAAACCATTGTTCTTCTACTTTTGTTACTACATATTCTTAGTTATAGTATCTTACGGTCGTAAAACCAGTGTAATTCGGCCTTAACTGCAAAATTGGTTGTCAATAACACGATTATATAGATTAATTAAAGATTTAATACTTGGCATTTTAATGAAATACATATTCAAATTCATTACTCTTTTCGTTGAATCCTAAATGCCGTTGAAAAAGCAGTTTTAAAAGAACGTAAACATATTCATGCAATCAAAATAAACAGCAGCTTTGGCTTTTTTAGTGAAATTCGTGATTTTTTCTCAAAACTTAGGGTGATGTATGGAAAATTTGGGTAAAAATTGGCAGGAGCCTTATGGATAATCTGGGTAAAAATAAGCAGCACATTAATATTCTATTTTGTGGCTATCGACGATTGGAGATCCACTACAAATGCGTGCCAAAACCTATGCTCGCCGGGGCACAGTGCATCAGCGAGTAAATAGCTGCAATATATTCAACTACTAAGCTTGAGACTTGTGCTCCAACTAAGCTTTGCGCGCTTAAAGTTTGCAAAGGACAACCTTTATTTGAACTGGTTGTATAATATTGCAATAAAAATGCTAAATTCTGTTGTAGTTAGTTACGTTATAGTTCCATATTTTCTGTGTGTTTTTTCCACCTAAAACGGGCTTGGGTCTTTAATTAAGCGAAATTCCATAAACTTTTCGAGATATCCAAGATCTTTACATGTTAAATGAGGTGGAAGATGGTCGGTATTTTTCATGGTGTAATGCAAAATAGCAATCTGAAGCCCTATTAAAAACGATTATGTGGTAAGGATTAAATTCGTCTATTTTCGAATATTTCAAGGGATAAATACTTGCCAAGAAAATCGCATTTAATTTTTTAATTAAGTTGAAAAGGTGGAAACATGTTTGTGTGCGTTTTCTCAGGTAGAGTAAACAAAATCCTTAAGAAACAATCCTAAAAAGTGAGAGCGCTATTACAATGCCCTCTATAGTTTATGATCACTGGCAAGCTCCGATCTAGATAGTCACGAACAAGACATGAACCCATAATCGAAGACAAGTTTTCACGCACTTTCCTACTTTATGAGTTAACTCGTTACAACGGTCCCATAAAAGTAGCGCTTTTAGGTATGATTATTTCTGACCGCAGGTGTTAGAAGGGCACGCAGCAGTCTCGTGCCCAGATAGAATTTATAATCACTGTTTTCGTGGCACACAAACCCAAACAACTACGGTAATTTATTCATGAGAACATATTTTCCCCATTATTATTTATACACACAATATAAAAATTTACAGTAGAATATCACGAGCCTGGAAAACATGTGAATCGTATTCCAACGACTTAAAATAAATCCTTCGTGGCTTCGTCGAGCCACTATTAAACTATACAATATTCGAAACTCTGTTCAAGCGTTCAGTGCCGTTTTCGGCGTTGTGACGAGCTAATTGTGGAGATTTTACGTTGTAGGAGGCTAACATGACGACGATAGTTGTTAGTGCAATCAAATTCATATTTAACGGGATATGGCAATAAAAATTAACTTTGCCTTATTTGAAAGAACTTTTAAAGTTATATATGAAGACCCTTTACAACTTTTTCGTATCTGGCTTGGTTTTCGAAATATTTTGACCAAAAACAGTGTGCAGTCCGCCATCTTGGTATTATAATTGTTAAAACGTCTTCATGTGGGACTAAATTTCTTCGAACAGTTTCTTAAAATGTCGAGTTGATTACCAAAAAGACTTCGGAAAATCGAGTTTCATATTGATAATGACATGTAGTTTGCAAGAAAAAATTTCGCTTTTTGCCCTGCTTGTGACGTATGCATATCCAATGCATATCCAAGATGGCGGAATGCAAGCTGCTTTTGATCAAAATAAGTCGATTTATTTCGAAAACCAAGCAAGATACGGAATAATTGTAAAGGCGAGTATTGAATATTTTACCCGCTTCAGGGTGACAACTGACAATATATATATATATATATATATATATATATATATATATATATATATATATATATATATATATATATATTTCACGACGACAGCTGCCCTGACAACACAGTTTTTAACAACTCTGAGGATTGTTTAGAAATTTCAGGTTTTCAGATGATCTGTAAAAGAGTGCTCGTTGAATAAACATTTAAACAATAACGGATCACGATTAAAGCTGAATCTTGAGAACGTATTTTATACACTTTCGTTAAAAATATGAAAATGAGTTTAGTTCAGACGCTAAAACATAACCCTACTTAAACGCATTATTTTCTTGTTACGTCCTTGGATTCGACTCGACTGTGTTGTTTTGGTAAGGATATCAACTATTCTGTACAGTCTTTTGTATTATCAACTTTGCGTTTGCGCCGAGGCCTTCTCCGTCTCGGTTTCTCATTTGAATTATTCGCAGGACTTTTCTGAGGGCTTTTAGGAATCACCTCCCGTTGTTCCCCAGTAACTTTGACGACGAGTTGGTCATTTGCATCTGTAGTCGGTGTCCTTTCATTATGACTTGTCATTACCGCTTGTCTTCCTTTGGGTGATTGATTTGAATGATCATTTTGCTGCTGTGGCTGTCTTCCTTTCGGAAAGTTTATATGATTATGCCCGACCGCAATCTCTTGTTGTTTGACCTGTTTCTGCTGTTGTTGTTTTTGTGGTTGTTGCTTTTGCTGTTTTCCTTTGGGTGACGTTATACGATCGTGGGCAACCGAAACCTCTTGTTGTTTAGTCTGTTGTCCTTGTTGCTTTTGTTGTTGATGTTGTTTTTGTTGTTGCTGTTGTTGTTTTCGTTGTTGTTGCTGCTGTTGTTGTCTCAGTTGTTGTCGTTTTTCCTGTTGTTCTTGTTGGTGTTGGTGTCGTTCCTGCTGTTGTTGTTGTTGTTGTTGATGTATTTGCATGTTTGGATGTGTCTGTTGCCCAAACGCGGGCGCTAATTGTCGTTGATTCTTATACTGAATTTTGAGTTCTCGTGGTTTCCTATGATCTTTCGGTTGCCTTGTTTGCTCCCGTTCACGTTGCTGAGCACTTGCGTTTCGTTCTTGTTTACGATTTGAATGGTGTGTATCAATCGTAGACTGCATTGGATTCTCGGACAGTTCCTCGACATCATTTCTCATTCGTTGTGGTGGTTGTTGCTGATGTTGTTGGAAATCTTTGACTTTTTCTGTCATATTTTCGTCATCTTTCAAACCTTCACCTGCTCCCTGCTTACGTTTATTCTTCTGCTTTCTATTCCTTGAACGTTTACTAGTTGTTCCCTCAGTATATTCAGCCTCAAATACAAAGGCTTTTCCTTGGTTGGCAGCGGCATCTCCATTATTTCGATTCTTCTAGATGAAAATAAAAGTTACAACGGATGAATCATTTGAAATACAAGGACTACCTAAATCACGGTAACTTTTCAGCAATATATACAGCCAATTCAAAAAAGGTTATCCTTCGCAAACCTTAAACTCTAAACCTTAAGCCCGAAGTGCGCAAGGCTTAATGGGAGCACACGTTTTAAGCTTAGTAGTTGAATATCGCAGCTATTTGTGAATGAATTGTTCTCGTAAGGAGATATTTACCAGGTCTCTAAGAAATGGACCCCATATATGATTTCTAAACTGATTGAACAATGCTACCATTGTGCTTTGCACGCTTAGAGTTTAAGGTTTAGAGTTTAAGGTTTGCAAAGGACAACCATTTTTGAATTAGCTGTACATATATATAAGTAAACGTGCAACAATAAATCACGGGCTTTAGGACAAATTCAATGGACCACTTTGGCGGTTTTGTGTTAATTGGAAACACGTGCTCAAGAAATCGGAAACTCGGATAAACATGGCGGAGCGTAATACAAATGCTATTCAAAATACACAAATGTTTCGGCCATTTAATAGATAAATTTGCTCGCTTTCGTCACGAAACAATAGTCAAAATGGAAAATATATCACGAGAAGAGAAATTCAAAGCCATGAAGCTGCCGGAGCTCAAAGCATACTTACAAAATCGAGGAATTACTGTTAACAGTTACCTCAAACCAGGACTTGTACCTATTGCTTGTGCCGTCGAAGAAATGAGTCTTCCATTGCTTTTTCAAGTCAGTGAAGCCCGAGACCAGTTAAATCTAAGCCGTCGTTTGAGAGTTCACGATATCCAGCTGCCTGACCCTTTTAAAATGAATGTTTTAAACGATTTTAGCCATTCTCGCCCCTTTGGTTTGTTTCGGATATATTTAATCATCTCATATATCACTCGTCAGAATATGACAAGCAAAGTCTAGCAGCTTATAAATATATTTTACATATCGTACGCATTTTAATGCGAGTTTTATATGCTAGACGGAGATTAGGATTATTACTTATATTCTCCGTACTAGTTATTGCTGATACAGGATCTGGATGTTCTTCAATAGGACCATTTTGTCGGCCAACAAAATGAAGGCTACATATATAACTATCCTTCATACATACAAATGTATCGCCTCTGTGGAAGGCACGTATCCATGCAGCGCTCTCGTTTTGCGCTATGGTATCTAGACCCAGGAAAATGTAAAAAGCTCCATTACTGTTTCGTTTTAACCGATCAAGATACCGTGAATCGCTTTTACAAGTACCACAAGCGCACTTTTTAGTCGTAACCATTCTATATTGTTCTATATATACGCTCCGCCATGTTTGATATCTTTTTTTTTACATTTTTCTGGGGCTAGATACCATAGCGCAAAACGAGAGCGCTGCATGGATACGTGCGTGCCACGGGGGCGATAAATTTGTATGTATGAAGGATAGTTATATATGCAGCCTTCATTTTGTTGGCCGACAAAATGGTCCTACTGAAGAACATCCAGATCCTGTATCAGCAATAACTAGTACGGAGAATATAAGTAATAATCCTAATCTCCGTCTAGCATATAAAACGCACATTAAAATGCGTACGATATGTAAAATATATTTATAAGCTGCTAGACTTTGCTTGTCATATTCTTACGAGTGATATATGAGATGATTAAATATATCCGATACAAACCAAAGGGGCTAGAATGCGTAAAATCGTTTAAAACATTCATTTTAAAAGGAACGGGTAGCTTAATACCGTGAACTCTCAAACGACGGCTTAGATTTAACTGGTCTTGGGCTTCACTGACTTGATAAAGCAATGGAAGACTCATTGCTTCCACGGCACAAGCAATAGCTACAAGTCCTGGTTTGAGGTAACTGTTAACAGTAATTCCTCGATTTTGTAAGTATGCTTTGAGCTCCGGCAGCTTCATGGCTTTGAATTTCTCTTCTCATGATATATTTTCCATTTTGACTATTGTTTTGTGACGAAAGCGAGCAAATTTATCTATTAAATGGCCGAAACATTTGTGTATTTTGAATAGCATTTGTATTACGCTCCGCCATGTTTGTCCGATTTTCCGATTTCTTGAGCACATGTTTCCAATTAACACACAACCGCCAAAGTGGTCCATTCGACAACAATAGTATTCTATCTAAATAGCAGTTAAAATAAAGTGTACGGCACCTGAACTGTTCAATATCTTGCTTCTGTATCCATAAAACATTTACATATATGCAAATACTGTATATTTTCAAAATCGGCCATATTTATTTACATTAGAACCCAAGCTTTCGCGGTTCACACGAAATATTACGTCGTCCATCTGGTGATTTTCACTAATAATAAGAGGGTAGGATCATCCAATTATTTAATCGTTCGAAGCGCGAGGAAAGCATCACTTCCATATATGGCACAAATGTGTCCCCAACTTCATTATACGGCACAAACGTGTCCCCAAAATCAGTTTATCGAAGTCGTTATGATGTCATAAGATTTCTCCCGCTCGGAACGATTTGAACAGGTCACGTGGTACAGAACCCAGACAGCTGATTGGGTTAGCGAGTGACAACGCCCACCTTAATCCTACCCTCTTATTATTAGTGAAAATTACCGACGTTAATATTTCGTGTGAACCGCGAAAGCTTGAGTTCTAATGTAAATAAATATGGCCGATTTTGAAAATATACAGTATTTGCATATATGTAAATGTTTTATGGATACAGAAGCAAGATATTGAACAGTTCAGGTGCCGTACACTTTATTTTAACTGCTATTTAGATAGAATAGTATTGTTGACGAATTGAATTTGTCCTAAAGCCCGTGAATAAATTAAGAAAAATAAAATGCTGCTTTTCAAAAGGCCGTGTGATTACGCTAAAATTACAATAATATCAATGCGCTATAACCCGCTATATCAATTCATGAATTAATTTAATTATTTTAATTCTTTCTGGAATACTTTGTCAGTTCCAGATGTTGGTGGCGGCAGATTACTAAACGATTTTTTAATTGCATTAGTTTTTGGTTTAGCCAACCTCAGCATTAAAAGTTGTTACTTCTTAAATTATGGTTATCATTGTAGGAAAACCGAAACATTTCAGTTATTCCTTCCGGGCAATTTTTCTGGCGAGCTTTATTAACATAGGAAATAGTTTGAGAATGACGCCTTTCTTCGAGAATATTCCGGCCTAATGTACAGAGAACATCTTTTGATCTTATGTTGTATGTATCTGTCGTTATAACTCTTGTCGCTCCATTTTGAAGCCGCTGAACTTTAGTTTTTAGTGATTGGCTACAATTATTCCAAACAAGGAAACAATAACGGCCAATAGGTGATCACATTGCTCGGCTTCAACCTAGCCTGCGAACAGGCCCTGGGTTGCGGGCGGCGCGAAGAATAGAGGGCCTGCACGGAACTATAGGTTTTCTTGGTAGTGGCGTTCGTATAGAAACGCAGGCTTCTGATTGGCTTACACTCGTTGACAAAATTACTAAAAATAGCAAATGTCAACAACAGCATTTTGAAGAATTTGAACTTTGTTCATTTTAATATTATATTATAGGACTATCGAACAAATAAAACTAGAAATGGAAACTAAAAGCAATAGCAAAGCATCACAGCAAAAAAGTCTATCATAAATGACTTGAATCTATCGCTTAAATCCAATATACGAAACTATAACAGTATTCTGAACTTCGTCTTCGGATTGACATCAGACTATAGTATAGTACATTTTGAGGTCGTCGTGGCTTCACGGATTATTCTCATTAGTGAGCAAGTCAGCAAGCGAAGGCATACAAAAGATACCCGAATATGTACGAATAATTATATTGTTGATCCTCGCTGGCATGTCATTTAGATAAATATATATCGTACATTAAACGTTGTACTATTTGCTGTATATTAACTGCTGACAATTTCGTCGTCGATACGGCTTCCACTATTGGCACACTCGTGATTTCGAAGAAATTAATAAATACATGCTCGTTTATCATTTATTTAGACCACAGTTAGTAAAATTTTAAACGTATTTGGTATTCCAAATCCCAATCTATCTGACCGTATTTTAGTAATAGCTTCAAAATATTCAGAACATTGTTCTTTCAGTCGCACATAGTACAAGTATTACTGTACATTCAAAGCCAATGGTAGTTTATTCGGCTTTATATTTGTATGTGTATTGATATCTATTTAATATTTGAAGAATTCTATATTTTTCCGAGTAATATATTGTGCGGCCCGCTAATGCTTTGTATTATTGTTCATGTTGCACAATGTACACGCCTTGCGTCAATTTGACAGTTGACAGTTTATTTATCGCAGTCGACGCTGATTGGTTAACGTTTAGCAGATGCGAAAAGGGGATGATTGAATAAAACGCATGGTTCCGTGCAGGCTCACCTTTCTCCCAGTGAGCCTGTTCGCAGGCTAGGCTTCAACCTAGTTCAGGTTAAATTATGTTAATGGTAAAGGCTAACTGCCATTATTTTATTGGCCGTATGCTTCCAACGTTGGCAGTGTTGAACACTTTTAAAGCTAGAAATTGGTTTAAGAATGCAACTATATGAAAGGAAGTGTATACTTCGAACGACTATAGCTACCTGAAATAACAGTCGTACATGGGACATTTTTTGACCAGATTACAGTATTTATGATTAAATGCTAAATTGGTCGATTACCTTCTCCACACAAAAATACCAATCAAATTTCTTAAAAGAACGGGTTAACCAATCACTGCGGCTGATCACCACATAAGAAATACAAAATTGTTAAATTTAAAAGCAATTTAACTACTCTGTATGGAGTGTTTGACATACAGTTATTACTTTCTGACGCGAGAATCAACACAAAATAAAAAATAGACGCCAGGAGTCATGATGAAATAAACAAACGTCCATTTATATATATATATATATATATATATATATATATATATATATATATATATATATATATATATATATATATATATATATATATATATATATATACACACTGGATCCAGAAAAGTTTGACCTTCGAATATATATATATGTCGGCCATTTTGAATTTTCTTGGGTTAATTATGCGCGAACGCATACATCAAATGTCGCTCGCAACGTACTGTATATTGCAATATTCCAACAGCTCAAATAAGTAAAGGATCATTGCTTGAAGTTCTTACACATATTTGTAGTAGCTATCTAATGAACATTTGAGGGTTGTTAGCTAATTAACTCTTGTCACAATTTGGAACCTGATCTTTTTGGCATGTCGTAATTTATTCTTTTGCATCCTTAGAGATTTGGACGCTTATTAGCATGCCTCGATGAATTTCTTTGTTTATTCTTTCGTATTCACTTGTGCTTATTTTATAGCTGTAACCTACGTCCAGAATTATTATATTAAAGAGTTTGGCAACCTAGAACGGCAACGACAACTGCAACGGGGAAAATATAATTGCTTATATATTGTTGTATTTGAGCCAAAGTATACGTTACTACACTTAATTTACCTCATTAAGTATTCCTGTTTCTTTCAAACGTACCCTTAAATAAAAATAGTCCGCGAATTCAATAAAACTCTCAAATAACATCGAACGAATGAATTGTTGCCGTAGTCATGCACCGTGAAAATGATGCAAATCACGTATTAGTTTCAACAACTATGGCATTGGACAACGCTTAAGACCATGTAATTTACATTCGCCTTTGTCTTTGAGGATTAATGCTATTGTTAATGACCATATTGCCGTTGCGGTTGCCCTTGTATTTGCCGAACTCTCTATTATATTTTGCCAACGGAAATTTTAACGGAATCGATAGTCATTCGATATTTCATCCCCTGAAACTCAGCACACGCAGCATTCGTGACCTGGCGAAGCAGAAATGTTCATTTCCTACTAGCCATTATGTTCATTTCCAAATGTTCATTTCCTACTAGCCATTATGATTATGTGCAAAGACATCAATCAATGATTCTTTTATTCATTTGAGCTGTTGGAATAATATTGCAATATACAATACGTTGCGAGCATATATATATATATATATATATATATATATATATATATATATATATATATATATATATATATATATATATATATATATATATATATATATATATATATATATATATATATATATATATACGTTTTATATCTGATAAAACACGACTACAAGTGCTTTAAATGGCTTAAAAAACGACTCATCTTATATGAGTTCATTGGCGAAGTTATTTTTAAAATAAACTTTGTCTAAACCGAGAAAATCAAAGCTAAAGTTTATGTAAATTAATGATTTTTTATCACATATAAAGATACGACACGCGACAATAATTCAGTTTCTTTGAACGTATATGTAGTGAAGAGTGCTCAATATTACAAAATAGAGCGATTTATTAATACTTAAAATGTTTTTGTTGCTACTCCGAGTTTCATGCCGTAAAGGCAATCATCAGGCAACAGTTTTTGTTGAAAACTGTTGCCTGATGATTGCCTTTACGGCATGAAACTCGGAGTAGCAACAAAAACATTTTAAGTATTAATATATATATATATATATATATATATATATATATATATATATATATATATATATATATATATATATATAATTTGTTATCTTAAAATGTTTCAATTTCTCGCTACTTTAAGTTTCATGCCACTATTTGTGGCAATCTTCAGGCGACTAAATTCAGTTCGTTATAATGGCGTGATCTATAGTTTGCTGACGTGCACCGTCATTATTCGCACGCGCGTTCAAAATTTCCCGCCCGTTCAAAATTTCCCGCCCAAAATTTCTCACGATGTCGGCATTTTGCGAATATCTCGGGTCTTTTGTTCAGTGTTAAATGTTTGTTTGCATCATTATGCAGAGTTTTTCTTCTATGCAGAGATTGCAACGCTTTGCACCAGATGAGTATGCGCCTGCCCGCTTTAGAACTGA